CCACGGAGGCCCTTGCTATTGTCATTATGATGAGCGCTGTCTACAGTATCTTCAGCAGGAAGTGCAGGCCTCCTGCAGTGTGACTGTGAGCTGTTCAGTGTTGTCTTTGTGAAGAGAGAGGTCAGGTGTTTGGCAGGTCATATAAGATGCCAATATGCTACAATTTTCTCCTAAATTTCCCACCTGAGAGATCATGCATACAGAGGGGAAGCTTTCTCTCCCTTTCTCCCACACATACATGCAGAGTTTAAACGCTTTCTCTGAAATGCTCCTTCTCCTGTTAGTAACTTACAAACTCCAGCCTTCCCCCCCAAGCAATCTGCTTTTTCTGGAACGATTGCTTTGCAAAGGCTACGTCCGTGCAGAGACATAAATGTTTCTTGCTTCTCTCAGGACCTTGGCATATCGTTCCCAACTTGAGTTTCTCAGTCAGTAGCTATTTGTGCCACAATGAATTCTCTAAGATTCCTGGGTATTGGGAAATAATGAACCCTAGTTAGAAAGTCATCTTGACTTCGAAGAAAAGAGGGAAAGAAACGGAGGCCTGATCTACACTACAAAAGTAGGCTGACAGAAGCCACCTTATGTCAACCTAATAATGTGTGTGTCTGCAGTACCGGGTCCCTACCGCTGACCTAATTCGCCTGTAATGTCGACTTAAGTACTCCACCTCTGCGAGAGACATAGCGCTTAATTCAATGTTGATGGGTCAACAGAGAGGTGGTGTAGACACAACATTGTGTGAGTCGACCGAATTAGCCTCTAGGGGGTATCCCACAATGCTCTGGAGACTGTTTGCTCTGGAGATAGTTTTCAACTCCGCTGCACAGCAGCCAAGTACACAGGAAACAGCACCTTCCCTGTTAAAGCCCCGGGAACTTTTGAATTTTCATTTCCTGTTTGATCAGCATGGAGAGCTCGCCAGCCCAGCTGATCATGGTAACTCAGTGCCCCAGACATGCTCCAGCCTGGAAGTTGTGGATCTTATTGGTCTGTGGGGAGAAGAGTCTGTGCAGGCACATCTCCTATCCAGCCGAAGAAATGAAGACATCTGTGAAAAGCTTGCGCAGGGCATGGGAGAGAAGGGCTACACCAGGGGCATGCAAGAGTGCCATGTGAAAATCAAAGAACTTAGGCAGGTGCACCAGAAGACAAGTGAGGTGATCAATCATTCTGGTTCTGCACCACTGATGTGCCACTTCTACAATGAGCTGCATGCGATTCTCAGCGGTGACCCCACCACTGCCCTCAAACGCAATGTGGATACCTCCCAGGAGTCTGAGTCCTGGGCCACCTCAGGCAACAACGAGGAGGACATTCTGGACGAGGAGAATGTGAGACAGGCAAGTGGTGGATCCATTCTCCTCAAGAGCCAGGAGCTACTTTTAATCCCATAGCCCAGCAAGGCACAGGACAGCATGGTGGCCAAGCATGATTCTGGGGAAGGCACCTCTGGTGAGTATGCAATTCCAACCAAACTGTAGGGGTTACACGCTCTTATACTTTATGTTTAAGATGAAGAAAAAGAGAGGTGCAGTGGGAATCCGCTTCCCAGTGGCCACTCCAACTACGCAGAGGGTGTACTCCGGAAAAGACTGTTTATGTGCACAGGGATGGTCTGGGAATCCTCCATGGAGACCTCCGGGAAACTTTTGGAGGTACTCTGCAATCCTTTGCAGAAGGTTTCTGGGGAGGACTGCCTTATTTCTTCCACCACGGTAGGACACTTTCCCACGCCGCTCCAGTATTAACTCTGCTAGCTTCATTGTAGTACACAGCATAGCAGCATAAGGACCAGTTCTGTACCCAGACGCTTGCAGCATCTGCTCCCTTGCCACCTCTGTCACCCTCAGGAGACTGATATCACATAGGGTCACCTAGGGGAGACTGTGGACGTTTTCATTACAAATGCTCGGACCACAAACAATCATTCATGGTGATTTCCGAGTCTCTCAACTACGGTTTCCCTAACATGCCAGTGTTTTGGTTGGCAGGGAATTCAGAATCTCCAAGCCCAGAGTGACTGTTGCCTGCTGCGTTAAGGGAAGGGGAAGGTGTGCTTCCTATGTTTTCTCATGGCCGCAACGCCCTCCCCCTCCCCCCCCACACACACACTTTGGAGCTGCCTCAGATAAAAAAACCTCAATTTGGGAGGCTTAACGCTGGTCCCCAGTCTCCAAGCACCGTCCATGTTGCTAAAGGGAAGAGGCATTGTCCACTTACACACCTGGGCTCCCAATGCACGTTTCCCACAAGTTGCAGCACAAGGCCCGTCGCCCATGCCACTGGGACATATTCACCACGGCAGGAACAGCAAACAGATTTATTGAATGGCTAGAGATTCTGATTATGTTCTGGCTTGCACTTGAGTGTAATAAGGAGAGGGATATTTAAATAGCATCCTTGTACCAGACCCCAGGTATGCACTGATAGTGGTTGCCTTGTGCTTTGCATGCCTTACAGTGGAAAGCTTGGCCTTCAGCACAGCCTCCACACCAGCAGAGAGGCTTTTGCAGATTAGAGGATGGAAAAAGAGACCGTGTGATGACTTGTTCAGCGAGATAATGAATGCGTCTGGGACAGCGGACATGGAGCTCAGAGCCTGGAGGATTTCATGGTCTGAAAAACGACATGGACAGAGAGAACAGGAGAGCATCCCAGGAGCACAAGAGGGCTATGCAGGATGAGATGCTGCGGATTACGAGGAACCAGTCAGACATGTTGGAGCGTCTGGTTGAGCTTCAAGAAAAACAGCATGAGGCTAGACCCCTGCAGAATGGCCTGCAAACATCACCCTATTCCCAACTGCCCTCTCCCAAACGTTCCAGGAGGCGGGGGGGGAGATGCAGTATCCCTTCCACTCAACACCAGCGGAGGGCACAAAGAACAAAAGGTGGCCATTCAAAGACCTTTGATGGGCAGGACTTCTGTGCTTTCACAGACAAGCTGACTTGGTTTCTCCCCTCCCAATTTTATCTCACGGTTTACCCAAGGTTAAAGTATTTCCCTGCTCTTTCAGTTTCTGTATGTTTGTGCAATAAAAGTCAATGTTTCGAGAATGAAATGCTCTTTATTTATTGCGAGCATGAGGGTGTGTGGGGGGGAGGGGAGGTGCAGGGAAAATGATGCAACAGAGGAGATGGTATGGGAAGGCACAACGCAGATAAACAGTGCACATTACTGTGGCTCATTACTGAACCAGGTTTTCAAACCTCCTGGAGACAGAGCTGCTCACTGGGTTCTTCTTATTGCCCTGGTATCTGGCTGCTCAAAATTGGCTGTCAACCTATCTGCCTCCATGCCCCACCCCTGCGGAAACTTCTCTCCCTGGGCCTCACAGATATTGAGCACACAGCAGGCAGCGATAACAATGGGGATATTGCTTTCACTGAGGTCTAACCCAGTAAGCAAACTGCTCCAGTGACTCTTTAAATGCCCAAAGACACATTCCACCACCATTCTGCACTTGCTCAGCCTATTGTTGAACCGGTCCTTACTGCTGTCCAGGTGGCCGGTGTTCGGCTTCATTAGCCATGGGAGCCGGGGGGCTGGGTCTCCCAGGATCACTATTGGCTTTTCAACATCATCAGTGGTTATTTTGTGATCTGGAAAGTCCATGATTGCAGCTTTCTGAAGAGACCGGAGTTCCTAAAGATACGTACGTCATGCACCTTTCCTGACCATCACACACTGATGTCGGTGAAACGGCCCCTGTGATCCACGAGTGCTTGCAACACCAAAGAAGAGTATTCCTTTCAGTTTTATGTACTCTTTGGCAAGATGGTCTGGTGTCAAGATAGGGATATGTGTTCCATCTATAGCCCCACTGCAGTTAAGGAACCCCATCGCGGCAAAACCATCCACTATGTCCTGCACATTGCCCAGATTCACTACCCTTCTTAGCAGAAGTCTATTAATGGCCCTGCACACTTGGATCACAACAATACCCACGGTGGATTTACAAACTCTGAATTGACTCCCCCCAGTCTGGCCTTGCAACCTTCCTCAGAGAGATCGCCACTTGCTTCTCCATAGTCAGAGCAGGTCTCATTTTAGTGTGGCTGCACTTCAGAGCCAGGGAAAGCTCTGCACGAAGTTCCTGGAAAGTGGCCTTCCGCATTCAAAAGTTCAACAACCACTGCTCGTCATCCTGCGGTCATGCTCGTCATAGCTGCATAATGATGCGATCCCACCAGTCACTGCTTGTTTCCCAGGGCCAGAAATGACACTCCACCATGTTCACCTGCTGTGCAACTGCCAGCAGCAATTGGGAATTGTTTCGTTTCTTGGGTTGCAGCAGGGCTGCTTGAATAACATCACAATGTTCCGTGCGGCGGCTCCTGTCTCAGCTCTGGAAATACTACAGGATAAGGCTTGAGGTGTTTGTAATGCTCACAACAAGAGTAAATAGCTGAGCTGGGTCCATGCTTCTTGGTCTATGGCATATGCGCAGCTAAGCCAGGCTTTCAAAAAAGGCACAAAAAACTATGGGTTGAATGCCGTTGCTATCAGGATAGGGAGGGAGAAAACTACATCGTGTGAGGTTGAAGCCATGTTCCCATTCTCATTCCCCCCTGCAACAATATTTTGGTCCCATGAGTCATTGCAAGCCCTTCCCAAAAACCCCTGTAGCTAGTTGCACTGCTTTGTGTATTGATGCAAGGGCTGCTGGTGAGGAATGCAAGGGCTGCTAGTGAGGACGCACTCCACCGACACAATGAGTGTGGTATAGACTCACCGAACCGACTTAATTCCTGCGGCGGCTGGATGTCGGCTTACATTAAGTCGACCTAACTTTGTAGTGTAGACGTGCCCTGAATCTGCAGGGGGAAGAACTGCATCAGTGTGCTTGTAATCCCTAAGGGAAACCAGCCCTAAAGAGCCTTCCAGCCGAAGGCTCTGATTTTACACACAGAGACTCATTTCTGCCTCACTGTTTAATTACAGCTTACTAAGTGCCAGATCTGATTCTCCGCATCTCTCTTTCTTCCTCTTTGCAGCTCAGGTTCCAGACAGCGATGAGCAATTTCTGCCTGACTTTCATTCGGAAAACTGTAAGTACCGTGGGAATGTGTTTATGGGGAAGGGGCAGGAGCTGCTTCAACCAAACAAATGTATCAATGAGAAGATCACTGTGCCACATGGAGAGTCAAAGCAAAGGCACGAGCTCCCTCCTGCACCACCCAAAGTAGAGGGATAGTGACCACCTCTCCCTTTCTTGAGAAGACAAAAATATCCCTATCTAATTCCAGTCAAAGGCATTTGGCACATTCCCCTAATACTGAGGTTCCAAGGCTGTTGGCGTTTGGTGGCAGATGTGTATGGTGGTTAATTGGGCAATTCCAGCCAGCTAAGGAGTGGCATTGGCATGAGATGCAAGGGCGAAACCTTCACCTATAGCCACCAAGCTGAAGGAAATTGGCTTGGATGGAGATGTTCTCACTGGAGGGAGAGGAGAAGAGGGAAAATAAAAAAGGAGGGGAAATCCATCTTTAGTCATAAGTCAATTATTTTTGGTTAGGATTTTATTTCCAAAGCTCTTGAGGTGGGACATTAACAGTACGGAATTGGGGTCTGGGTTACAAATGGCATCAGCTCCTTTAATTCTCTGATGTCTGGAGTCTGAAGGCACGTACCCACCTTTGGCTATAAATGGAAGTGTGCTGAGAGCTCCCTTGACGTATTGGGAACCTCCTAATTATCACTTCTGCTGGGCTCTGATAATCAGCTTTGACACCTGCCACCTGGGCAGGGGATTGGATTAGGAGCTGGGTACTGTGTAGGGGGACTTGGTGCTGCCCAGATTGGAGACACTGTGAAAACTGAACTCTCCTGAGGCCGACCTGCAGTGGAACAATCAGTTTCCTAAATAGATCCATGCTCCAGCCTGATCCTTGTGTTTTACCAAACTTCAATGAAACAATCACATGGGTGTGTTTGCCCATGTGTGTGGGAGCATTTATATCACCCACCCTCATTCTAACACCAGAGCACTTCTGTTCACAAAAGGAGGGTCTGATACAGCACGGTTAGTGCAGCACCAGGGAGCTGTTTCTGTATAATAATGGTGCTCAGTCCTTGCAGAGCACTTCCATCCTCCAAGGGCTGAGCAGGCCCTAAGGAACATCCCCAGGAGGGATGGCTACTTCCTAGGTGTGGACCCAGACGCAAGGTCACACAGGCATCACTGGCAGCGCTGGGAAGAGAGCCCAGGAGTTCCTGCCTCTCCATTCATGGTCCATCCCTTTCTCCACTCCAGGAAGCCCCTGTGCTGACCCCAGCCTGTCTACATGGCACAGGGTGGTATTTTGAGAGCCTAGCTGGATCCTCATCAGAATTAACCTTGTAACTGGGAGCCATTGAACCTGCTGTCCGTTGTCCTGTGCAACTGCCTGTCCCATCCAGCTGATGTTAACAGACTGTTTTGAGTAGAGAGTCTGTGTTCCAGGCTGGCCGAGAGAGCCCAGAGCCTGGCGTGTCAGAGCTTCAGGAAGCCCCGCTCCCCTCTCCAAGCCCCTGCACATGTGAACATCTCACACTAACTGAGAACAGAGGGAGATGGATGTTTAAAGCCCTTCCAGACAGCTCTGTGCTTTTCCAGGGACGATGCTCCTCACTCCCCATCAGCTCCAGGGATGGGTTCCCCTCCCCCTTTCTGTGTCTGCTCATGAAAAAAAGGACAACGCACTTTTTCTGATTGCTCCCCTCTCACCCTCACTGGGATTTGGCTTTGCAGCACTGGCCCAGCATGTGCTCTAAGTCATATGACTTCTTTCTTCCTCCCGCTGACCTGGAGCTGAGGAGAGGGCTCGTCCCATGTTTCATTCTGAATGAATGAGCCAGTTGTAATGTAATAGCCTGTTCCAGCTATTAGGGGCCGGAAAGGGTTGGCCGCTCCTAGCACACTTTGCTTCATGAGGCTTGAATGGAGCTCAGTGTACTGGCCAGTGGGGTTTTTTCTCTCCCTTGACAGCAGCATTTTTGTGGCTGGTTCTGTAGTTTCTGTTTACTCTGTAAAACGAATTGAGCTGTCACAGACAGAAGGGGAAGGAGTGCTCCCAAGCTATGGAAAGAGACGTCTCTTCTCCACCCCTGCTCCTGGGACCTGCACTGTTTGCACAGATGTCATGCTTCAGACACTGAATCTCTCCCAGGTGTGGGACAGGCCCTGGGGGGCGGGGTTTTGGGGGGAGAGAACTCGCTCCTGTTCGGTTGTGCAACGAGCTATTCATGAGCATGCCACTCCACTGTGATTGATGGACACCTCAGGTTTGGCTGTAGGATCAAGCCCTCAGCAATAAGGACTAGGAGCCTCCCTGCTGTTGCAGGTATATTTATTGGTGTTGATTTCTACCTGAGGGTCTGGATCCCTTGGGGGTCAGGAGGGATTTGAGGAATAAGCACATGGGCTCTTCTCCTCTGGGCTGAAAGTCAGAGCAGGTGAAGGGGGTGAGGCTCCAGGTGCCTGTCTCTCTCTCTCTGATTGAGAATGGATTTGTTTGGAATGACCAGGCGTGGCCTAGAGCCACACTGCGGTGATAAGCTGCCCCCTTCTCCAGTCCTGGGATGCCTGCTTATTTACAGTTGAGGGGCCACACATGTCACCTCCACAGAGAACTTACTTTGGATTTGAACCCAGGACCTCTAGTATCATTAGTCAATATTGTACCATTAGGCCATTGTAACAGGTCCAGCCACCTCCTAGGCCTCTCCTCTCATGGCCAGAATGCCCTGCTACCAACTTCTACCCTCATCAGGGCCCCTTAATAGCTTACAAGCCACAGGTAATTTCAACATTCCCCTCCTGAGCTACCTATATGGAGTCCTTACATAACAGGCCTCCAGGCTCCAACCCCGTTCAATCCCTCTCTCCCTTTATATAGGGAGTTCCCAGCCCTCCTTCCCAGAGCTAGGCCCCAGGTCAACATCTTTCAGGCTTTAGCTGGGAGGAGCTCAGCCTCTCTCAGCTCTCTGGCTTCCAGTCCCTCACCCTTCTCTTGGGCAGGATCCTTAGCAGGAGCCTCCTGCTCACTACAATTCCTTGCTCACAGACCCCTTGGGCTCAGAGTCTCACCCCTGCAGGAACCATTCACGCTCTCTCTGCCACAGCCTACCCTTCCCTCCTTCATGGGAGCCTCCTGCTGCTCTTTATAGGCAGCCACCCTGATCTCTCCCAGGAGTGGATCGTTCTCTCCAGCCCATAATGGGTGAGCTACCCTATTATAGCCTCCAATCCACTTCTACCCCAGGTAGGTTGTTTATGGGGCATCCAAGGGAACATCTTCAGCATCTCACAGAGCAGAAGAGAAACACCAAGGGCCAACTCTGCTTTCAGCTACAATAGCATAATTCCAGAGTAACACAAAGTCATTGCTCCAGATTTAGATTGCTGTAACTGACAGCAGAGCTGCTTCCAAGCATTTGTTTCCAGCAATATCTGCTCATGAAAATAGGAAAGTTAGTACCTAAAATGTTAGAAATTTAAAAACAAACAAACAAACCCAAGCCTTTTCCTGGAGAGCTCTCAATGGCCAGACTCCTGGGTGCTCAGTAAGGCTTCAAGAATGCTCAAAGGTGCCTCCTTGTGCAGCTGAAGAGCAAAGGTGGCTGGGTTGGAGAACGACTGCTGGGGGTGATGGGAATAAAAAAAACTGGGCAACTCTTGGCAGTAAACTAGCCTGACACAGTTGGGGTGTTGCTCTTGTTATTCCTGGGGGGATTCTCAGGGGATTGTTCTCCCACCTCAGGCGCACTAAGAATTTCAGAATTCACTTTGACCCCCTCTTGTAGGGGGTAAAGTACATCTTGCTCCCTTCACCAGCTGCTGCAGGGCAGAGTGCACAATCCTCATGGACAGAACTCTGCAAATCAGCCAGCGTGGCTCATCTCAGAGAGAGCTGTCTCCTGTTGGCAAAGGGTCTGGCATGAAGTTGACTGGCCAATTAACATCTCAAGTTACTTAGTGCTAAAATAAACTGAGCAAGCCATTCACAGATCAGTACTTAACCTTGCCTAGGTTTTTAGGGAGATTTTTAAGCATCTGAACCCCTAGTAAGTGAAATGGTATCAGCTAGAGTGGATGGAATTTTTAACTAGGCATGAACTGGTGATTGAGGACCAAACATAGACCTGGTGCAAGAGTGCACATCTCTCTGTACCTAACCCCTCCACTCCTTATGCTTCTTCTTCCCTTTTCTCCCCTCTCCTTGTTGAATGCTCAAAATGGGGCATAACCCCTGTAGCTCTTTCCTTCCTATGTCCAGCAATGACTTGAAGGAAGTAGTGGAGGCAAAGGCAGAAGGTACTTACCTTGTTCATAGAGCTGCATGTGGCCCTTAGCCTGGGACATGCTCCTCGGAAGAGCCTGTAAAGAGATTTTGCTCCCTGCTGGATTTAATTATGCATAAGAAGTAACAATATCCGCATCCCACTTCCTGACCCTGTAAACTGCAACCCACGTTTGTTATTCATTACATTCTAGCCAGCTCAGAAATATTTCTTCCCGCCTGCATCAGGCCAAAGCCACTGGCTGGAGCGATGAAGATGGGACAGTGCTCTTTCTTTAAATAAGGAATGCTTTAGATGAGTGTGGAATCAACCAAACATGCGCACATACAGAGGACTGCGATTAATTGTTTTCCATGATCGCTGAAAGTAGGATAAGAAGCAATGGGCTTAACCTACAGTAAGGGAGATTTAGGTTAGGGATTAGGAAAAACATTCTAACTCTAAGGATAGTTAAGCTCTGGGTCAGGCTTTCAAAGGAGGTTGTGGAATCCCCAGTACGGGAGATTTTTAAGAACAGCTTGGACAAACACCTGTCAGGAATAGTCTAGGTTTACTTGGTCTTGACTCAGCGCAGGGGACTGGACTTGATGACTTTTCGAGGTCCCTTCCAGTCCCTTCACTTCCACAGTTCTGTGATTCTATACCTTTCCACAATGGTTCATGCAGTAACATGGTCCCCACGCCCATCACTCACTCCTCTTTCTCCCTTCCCCCCCACATCTGCGCACACGCTCCTATGGGGGGCTACTACATCTCCTCTGCAAATTCACTCTCTGGCAGTCTAGCAGTTTGGACCAAACAGGCTGCTTGTTTCTCTCTGCCCCTCCTTCAGCATGGAAAGAAGCCAAGTCCACCAAAGGAAATTGCCACAACCCACCATGCCACTGCTGCAGAAACCTGGAGCAAAGTGGCAGACACTTGAGCTGTTGCAGGATGAGTGGGGTGCAGAAAATGTAGGCACGTGTGTGCACTGCAGCTGGGAGCTGGGAAGCATTGTCCTTCCTGCTGATGTGTAATGTGCTAGCACCTGTCCAGAGAAGTGGTGGCACATTGAAAATTAAACGGGACAAGACACTAGGGAGCACTGGGTCCCCAAGGGATGGACTGCGTGTGACCTAGTTGGGCTTTGCCAGCCCTAATTAAAACATTAGACTAGAAAACCTGCCTTATAGTGATAGATTCAAAGGAGCTACTTAGCTTAACAAAGAGAATGTTAAGGGATGACTTGATTATAGTCCATACGGACCTTACTGGTAAACAAAGATTTGTTAACGGGCTCTTCAATCTAGCAGGCAAAGGTCTAACGTGATCCAATGGCTGGAAACTAAAGCTACACAAATTCAGACTGGAAATAAGGTGTGTGTTGTTGACAATGAGGGTGGGCGTCACAAGGGAACTCTCTGGCTTGTAGCTGCCTACTGGCTCTGCCTGGTGGCTTTCCATGCTGTTGATGTCAGTGAGGGCCTGTTGGTTTGTATCTGATTTTGGTCCTTTTCTGTAGGGATTCTGGATAAAGAGCATTTCCTAAAGATCTAAGATAAAATGCACTACCGGCAGACTGACTGTGTGACTTTAAAGTACACAGTGCTTTGCTGAGCTGTCACTCACTAGGCAAACATTTACCTGGCTACATTGGGCCTTTCTCCAGACAGCTGCAACCCAGAACTCTGTGTGACCTGCACTGTTCTCTGTTCTAAATAGATATTGAAAAATAAAAAGGAGGGTGTTGGGGAAGCAGTGGTTATGTCTCCTTCACAAGAAATATCTCCTCCTCCCAGCTCCATGAGCAGTCTCTTTGCGAGAGGGCACCGGGGAACATCCCTCATTGTTGTATGTTGTCTGAACCCATGCTGTCAAATGTCACATAGCATGCAGCTGGCTGTGTAATGGTGCTGCGGGTGTTAGTGAACTGTGTGGTTACACTTAGCTGGTTCCCAGGAGACAACCTGAAATTTCTAATGTTACAAGGGGGCATCTTGCTGATACTGCTAGTTAGGAAGGGGTTTTAATCTTCCAAATTAAAAAAAACAAACAAAACTCCCTACCACTGAAAGCTTTGACCTCTGAGCTGTGAGTCCAATGGTCCTGTGTGATACAGTCTGTACTGACCTCTGGTCAGAGACCTTGGATAAAATTTTCAAGAGCCCCTAAGTGACTTAGAAGCTGAACTCTCATTGAAAGTGAGTGGTATTTAGACTTTTAATTGTCTAAGTAACTTGAAAATGGAATTTAGCCTCCTAAGTCACTAAGGGGCTCTTGAAAATATTAGTCCTTGCTTTCTTCTGCATTGGTACAGGACTAAGGAGCGAAGATGGCTCAATAAGTATAATAATATTTCCCTACAGACATCCTTCAGCAGCCAGTGTAGCCGTTTCTATGGTAACCATCTTAAATTGTTTGTCCTACAGGACAAACTAGCGTATCATGAAATGTACCTCATGAGACTGTCAGTACAGTATGGCACAATGAACGACATGGCGATGTCACTCACAACACACTGTTAGCACCCATGTGAACCTAAGAGCGTGGTTTGCATAATGCAAAGCCAGACCTTAGGGTCTAGGTGTTGAAAAGCAGAATATGAATGTGTTACCCTTTGGGTTATAACACAAAATAATTAGACACCCACTCACCATGTCACCTCTCCCCTGAAGGGCTCAGTATGAACCTAACTAAATATTCGGACAGCAGCTAGTGCAAACAAAGGGTACGGAGGGGTATTTGGGACAGAGTTCGGGAAACTCCAGAGAACAGTTGTACCCATTGTTATTCTGCTTCACCTAGAGCCAGGTAAGTAGGTCAGGCAGTGTGTGCGCATGTGTGTCTCAGTTGCCATTAGTTTCTCCGCTGGCACAAGTGCCATCTCTCCAGGCCCAGGAGGAGTTTTGACTTGACTGTTTCTTTCTCTCTCTCAGTAGCTTTTCACAGCCCTCCTGCTAAAGTTAAGAAGGAGCCACAGAGTCCCTGTTCTGACCCAGCACTGTCCTGCAGCCATAAGCAGCCATTTCGGTACCGCAATGGCGAGCAATGCCTTTACGCCAGGTAATGCTGCTTGCATGCAGGAGGGAGGGAAGGGTAACTAAAGGTGAGGGAGTGCTATTGCAACGTGTCCTGTTCAGTCCCTGGGTCTCTCCTGACATGCTAGTGCAAACTGATTGATGGGTTACTTCCCGTTTAACACTGCACCCCCGGCAGCCTCCTCATGTGCTAGTTAGTGTACAGTATTACACCCAAGAAAATCAGTGCCAGGCAGGAGCGGATTTACCATGAAACAAACCATACAGTAGCCCAGGGCCCCCAACAACAGGGGGGCCGCCAAAATGCAGGACAAATACCTGACAGCCAGTCCCCAGGTCCCGGCTGGTGGCGCAGCAGGGCTCAGGCAGGCAGGCTGCCTGCATGCTGTGGCTGGTGGCCCCACACCACTCCTGGAAGTGGCCAGCTGCTGGCAAGTCTCTGCGTGCCCCTGGTGGGGGGAGGCAGCTCCACACGCTGCCCCACTAACTCTAAATCTGCCACTGGTGCCAGCCAGTTTACTTGTTCAAATAAAACCCTCCTAACGTAGCAGTGCTCTGCTGTACCCCTTTCCTCAATCCCTGCACGGTCCCCTTGCATCTCCTTGTTGATGTCTTGGCTGCTCCTAACGCTTAGAACAATTTCCCTCTTCTTGTCTGCCAAGCACTTTCCCTCTCCTCCTTCATCCCTCCCTTCCCCAGATCCTCCCTGTACTGACCTTCCCACCACTCCTCTGCACCTCTTTGTATTTGCACTGTAAGCGCTTCACCACCCAGGCCTTGTCCTCCCATTCATAAGAACATAAGAACAGCCACTCTGGGTCAGGACAAAGGTCCATCTAGCCCAGTATCCTGTCTTCTGACAGTGGCCAATGCCAGGTGCCCCAGAGGGAATGAACAGAACAGGTAATCATCAAGTGATCCATCCCCTGTCGCCCATTCCCAGCTTCTGGCAAACAGAGGCTAGGGACACCATCCCTTGCCCATCCTGGCTAACAGCTCCATGAACTTATCTAGTTCTTTTTTGAATCCTGTTACAGCCTTGGCCTTCACAACATCCTCTGGCAAGGAGTTCCACAGGTTGACTGTGTGTTGTGTGAAGAAATACTTCCTTTTGTTTGTTTTAAACCTGCTGCCTATTAATTTCATTGGGTGACTCCTCTGTAAAGTGCCATTAGTTTGATCAAGGAGAGCGATCAGTAATAAGAAAGAGGGAACTTTACTCAGAGCGCTGCATTGCCAGGTGACAGCCTGTGGCACGTTCTCCCCAGGTGAATGGAATGGGTCGCTGTCAGGAGATTGTAATATTCCAATATCTGTTTGACTGTCCCAGTGCCTATGACCAAACCAGACAAGTTGGACTCAAGTCCCCAAACCCAGGAACCCCGATACAGTCACCGCTTCAACATTTCCCTAGGCAGGACAGGAGCTTCCTGAGCCCTCGGGGGCCGTCCCAACCCACATCCAGCCGTGGATTCCTCATGGAACACAGGTGAGTGTCCACAGCAGTAGCAAGGTGGTAGACAGCCTCCAACGAAAGGGGCTCCCCTCCCCAAAGCTCCCTTGACGTTCTCCCCCCTTCCCCCCATATCTCAATCAAAGTTGTCTCTTTCCAGCAATCATAGACCTTCCCTCTTGTTACCAGCCTGGGTCCCAAGCTGCTGCCCTGTGCCTATGTGGGGGAAGTCTATTGTCTGAAGCCCATTCAGCTCTATATCCGTAGCTTCTATATGACCTACGGCTATGCAACAGCCCCTGGGAATACCTTGCTAGAACTGTGCACGTGTGTCTCTTTTGATTAAGCTACAACCCTCTAAAATCCCTGTTCCTCCTACCACTGCATACGGGTCTCAAATAGTTTGTGATTAGGGAAAGCAGTCACCACATCAGATATTTCCCCCCATTTAGCTCCATCTACCAGCCACCTACGGAGATGTGCCGTTCCTTCCCCTCCTCTCAGGCCATGGGCCGAGACGCTCCAGTTGCCTACCAGCGCCAGATGTCCGAGCCCTGCCTACATTACCATCCGCAGGACTTTAAACAGGAGTACCACGACCCAATGTATGAGCAGGCAAGCCAGCTGGGGGGCAGCAGTGACCACTCGTACCCAGCGGGAGTGGTGATCAAGCAGGAGCAGACAGACTATGCCTATGACTCAGGTAGGGCAGGAGAATTATCCTGACTAAAGCAATACATGCAGGCCAGATGCTGCTGGGTGTGCTGGCTCCTGGGGAACCTTCTCGCTGGCATTGTCACGGGCTATGGGGAAACAGCACATAGGTGCTTTGGCTAACAGCCTCCCTCCCCCTGCAAAACCTCCCCTCCCTATTTCCACACCCTGAGGGAGGTTTTCTGAGAGCAGGGAAAGAGCTGTGAGAATGATTCAAGGTTGGAAAACATGACTTAAACTGAGTGAGAGGCTTCAGAAGCCCAGTTGGTTTAGTTTATCCAAGAGAAGGTGAAGAGGTGACCTGATCCCTGTCTATACGTACCTGCCTAGGGAAGACATTTCTGACAGGAAATGGCTCTTTACTCTAGCAGAAAAAGGCAGAACAAGACCCACTAATTGGAAGCTGACATGAAATAAATTCCACCTGGGAAAAAGGCACCCATTTTTATTAGGGTGGGTGATTAACCATTGGAACAATTTACCTAGGGCCATTGTGGATTCTTCATCCATGAAGTCTTTAAATCAACACTGGGTCTCTTTCTAAAAGACAAGCTCCAGCTCAACCAGCATTTAGAGGTTTGATGCAGAAATTACTGGATGAGGTTCTCGGGCCTGTGCTATGCAATAGGTCAGACTAAATCAGGGGTTCTCAGACTGTGGGTTGCGACCCCATTTTAGACTTGCTGATGCCTGGGACTAAAGCCAAAGCCCGAGCCCCACCACCTGGGACCAAAGCCCAAGGCCTAGGCAGCAGGGCTGAGGTTACAGGCCCCCGGCCTCGGGCTGAAGCCTTTGGGCTTCAGCTTTGCGCCCCCCCTACCCCACCAGGGGTGGTGGGGCTCGGGCTTTGGGCTCCCCCGGCCTGGGGCAGCAGGGTTTGGGTGGGGCTTAGGCTTCAGTCCCCTCTGCTGAGGTCATGTAGTAATTTTTGTTGCCAGAAGAGAGTCACAGAGCAATGAAGTTTGAGAACCCCTGCACTAGATGATCAGAATGACCCATTCTGGCCTTGAACTCTGTGAATCGATGAATCAGACTTTCCAGGCTGCAGAAGGAGAATCCCTCAGCTGCAGCTGCCCAGTAGGAATTTATGTTGTTAGTGTATTATTTCTATTTTAATATTGCCTAGGGGTTCTGGTCAAAGAGCAGGACCGTATTGTGCTGGGTGCTACATACACACATTGGATGTCCCCAAAGGGAAAGGGGACAGAGCATCTCAGAGGGTCTGCGGGAGATTACAGGTCACTAGGCTACTCCCCAAGTCTGTCCTCTACCTTCCCCTGAAGCCTACGATTACATCTCAAAGAGAGGTGTGGCCTCCCTCCCCCCTGTGCCTGAGCACTAATTACAGGAATACTGCCCTGCCAGAGATACTTGTGGCCCTCAGAGCTGGGAAATTAATGAAGGCTAATGCACAGTAATGCATGTTCTTTACTAGCCTGTTATTGACAATCTTAAGTGGTGAAGCAGCCAGAGATGGAGGCCAAGAAGCGTAATCTCTCTGCCTGGCCCTAGTTGGCCTATTACAGAGGACATTCCACGGGCTCTCTGGAGCAAATTCCTTTCTCCCTGAATGATAAAGTGGAGGATTTTTGGAAAGCAGTGACTTTTGAGATGATGATGAGTCTATAATTGCTTAGAAAATGGACTGCTGCCCTGCCAGTTTCCAGTGAAACCTCAGAACTGCTTGGCAGTATTGGTAGGGATGCCATGTCCCGCCTGCTCAGCATCCCAGTGGGTTCTGTGCTGCCCACAACCCTGCAGGGGTGGGACGATCCTGCACTATTGCGATCAATGGCAAAGCTCCATCAGCAATGCAGGACTGGGCCCTTATTGAGCCCAGTTTGTAAAGAGTCATGGAAGTGCCTTGGAAAAAAGCTCAAGTCCTATATTCAGTCTTTGATTCATGCCCCACAATCTGCCTGCTAACAATAACAATAAATAATAACTTACGCTTCCTTAAAAAGATCAGAGAATGTTTCCTGGTAGGAGTTCTGACTCCTGCAATCTGCAGAAATGCTCTGGCAGCTGGCCAGGCTGCAATGACCTCCTCTTGAGGGATCTGAGAACACTGAGCAGGACTCTTGCTTTCTGGATGTATTTTTAGTCATGTTCTGGTTGGATTCCAAGGGTAAGTCCTCAAAAGAAGGAGCCCTTTTCTCTGGATCCAGACCTGTGTATGGGCAGGGTAGGTCACATCTGGTTTCTCTGCTTCCTTGAAGAGTCCTGGGGGTGCCTTGTTGTCTTCTGACCCCTCCCCCAGCAATGCACAATCACTAATCCAGAGTCCCCAGTGAATGAATGAGTAAGTGACAAAAAACAGAGGGGAATGGAACTCTGTGTGTGTTCCTCATACCACAACATATGAACTGCCACTCCTGATCAGACCAGGGGTTCATCTAACCAGGCTTCTCTCTGCAACAGTGCCCAGCACCAGATGCTTTGACAAGCGATGTAAAACACCCTACAATGGACAGTTATGGAATAATCTTCCCCTATCCCCAGGCACTTAGAGGTTGGCTCATGCTCTGAAGAAAAAGTGTTTAACACCCCTATAAATTTGTATTTTTTAATGTAACTCTGGATAGCCTCATGATTTACATAAATGTCAAATCCCACTCAGCTCTTGGCCTCAAAATATCATGTGGCAGTGAGTTCCAGATGCTAAGTATGCATTGTGTTTCAAAAAACCCAAGAAGGGTTAGCATCTCAGGAGCTTCATTTGCCCCCTTGTTCTTGTGACAAGGCAGGTGAGATAATATCTTTTATTGGACCAGCTTCTGTTGGTGAGTGAGGCAAGCTTTCGAGCTACACAGAGCTCATCCTCAGGTCTGGGAAAGGTACTTGGTGTGTCACTCACTTGTTTTGGTGTCATGAGATGAGTCAGAAATGAAACACTTGTTAGTGAAGACCACTAGGGGCTTCAGTGTGGCTCTTGGTTTTGCATGGAAAGTGCTCAGATACTGTGCTGATGGGAGGCTGCTGTTACTCCCTATTTAAGAGGTGTGTCGGGTGGGATCGAGCTTAGTGCATGAGCTAAAAGCCAACTGGTTGTTAGCTAAGGTCTGTAGAGCAGACTCATTTTATCTCGCTCTCTCTCTAAGTGGTCTCGGTGCCACTAGATGGGCCAGAACACCACACCCAGAAGGTGTGTGGGTTACACTAGCTCTTAGGAAGAGCTTTGGCCACCTAGGAGGCAGCAGTGGCCAGAGGGAATAGCAAGTGGGTTCTGCAGAAAGCGGTTTTCTTACCCGGGCAGTGTGTGCCAGGGACGCTGGAACAGTTTGTATAGTTGAGGTGCTGAGAGCCATTGAACCAAACTGGAAAGGCTGTATATAATGGAAACCCCTTCAAGGGAGGCAAAGAGTCCTGTGGCACCTTATAGACTAACAGACATATTGGAGCAGAAGCTTTCGTGGTGCTCCAATACGTCGGTTAGTCTATAAGGTGCCACAGGACTCTTTGCCGCTTTTACAGATCCAGACTAACACAGCTACCCCTCTGATACTTGACACTTCAAGGGAGCAGCTGCATCCCTAGTTCCAGCACCTATGGTGTGCACGCTGCAAGCTCCCCTGCATTCTGTTTAGCTCTCTGCAGACTTTGCTGTGTTCAGCCTTGCAGAAGTTGCACAGAAATCCCTTTGTCAAGAGCTGCAGAAGGGAGTCCAGTGGCTTGGAACTAGGACAGAGAATGCACTGCGGTCTCTGCAGCGCCAGTGACCTTCAAATGCTAGGGGAGCTGGAGCACTCCTCCCCAGTGCCAGGGATTGCATTACATAACCTTGAACCGTGCTCCCGCCCTGCAGCTTGGCACACATTGCTCCTCTCCCTCTGAATGGAGTCAGAGGAATTTCATTCACAAAATGGAGGGCTGGGGAAGGAGCTGAGCTCCCAGTTGGGCTGGCGGTGGTGTCAGCTTTCACCACATGCTTTCTTTTCATAGGCAGCTGACATCAGCCGGTGGCTGGTAACATGAGCTGGTGTGTTGCTGTCTGACTGCTGCCTGGAGCGAGTCAGGGACAATGAGAAACGACTCCCTCGTTTGGAGGTTAAATCGCAGGATAAACCAGCTTTGTTCTGAGAAGCAAATCTTTTCTTTTTACATCTGTGCCACTAACACCAAACTGGAGAATGGGAGCCACTCCCAGCACAGCTGGGCCTGTCTGCTGCGCTAAGCAGAAATTTCTAATCAGCTGGACTTACTATCTTCCTGTTGGCTCTGTCACCCCCACAGCAAGCATCCTGGGGGAAGTCAGGGGTGAAGACCCAGTATCTCAGAGGATGCCAGAGCTGATCACAGCACTACAGAAATGTTTATTAATAATCTCCAAAGGGAGCTGCCTGGGAACCCAACCAGTCAGAGACTAAAGTTAGTTTCTCTCAGTGAAACTCCAGCAGACTCCTGTCTGAGGTGTGGGCACATGCTGCCGTGATCCATACTAGATTAATCCCCCTTTGAAGAGAGAAGGCTGCTCCTGTTCTCCTGGTGTTTTAATGGCCACTTTGGACTGGTTTTCATGAGCAAAAATAAATTCAATCACATTTCCCACTGGGGTTCTGAATGTATCTCTGTCCGCCATGGAGACATACCCCTCACTGAGTGCCTCCACCCAGACATGGGTAAAAATGACCCTGCTTCCAGCAGAATGGCTTTCGTGAAACTAGTTTATGTCTGTAATAATGTACAGTGCAGACTGCAGTCAATTCAGTGTACCCCTGCCTTTTGCATCAGCAGAAGAGCGCTGAAGGCAACTGCATTATACAAAAAGGCATGAGAAATGTGAGAAAACTCTTCCAAAGTGTCCAGTTAGTTCCCTCATTCCAGCCGGGGCTGGAAAATTAATGTATAAACTACAGAAACCAGTCATACTGTATGTGCAGTATGGAACCTTTAAAACTGCTGCCCTCTTTCACACCCACCTTGTTTTTACCCTTTCACTTTTTCTAATGCTCATGAGAACTAAGACCCCAAGTGCTTGCAACAATATACCTGAAACAGACTGTCCATAGTAGCACTATGCAGCAGGGGCCCTGCAGTCCATAGCTGCACTGTAGCAAAATAAGAACATAGGAATGGTCAGACCAAAGGTCCATCTAGCCCAGTGTCCTGTCTTCTGACAGTGGCCAATGCCAGGTGCCCCAGAGGGAATGAACAGAACAGGTAATCATCAAGTGATCCATCCCCTGTCGCCCATTCCCAGCTTCTGGCAAACAGAGGCTATGGACACCATCCCTTGCCCATCCTGACTAATAACATCCTCTTCACCTGTAACAATCAGAGTGCAGTCCAGTGTCACGCATAGCTTCCGACTCCGTGGGTGCTCCGGGGCTGGGAGCACCCACAGGGAAAAATTGGTGGGTGCTCTGCACCCACCAGCAGCCAAGCTCCCCACCCCAGCTCACCTTGCCTCCGCCTCCTCCTCTAAGCGTGCCGCGTCCCCGCTTCTCCTCCCAGCACTTGCTGCCGCAAAACAGCTGTTTCGCAGCGTAACAAGCTGTGGGAGGGAGGGGGGAGGAGCGGGAACGCGGCACGCTCAGGGGAGGAGGCCGGCAAGAAGCGGGGCCGGGGCGGGGATTTGGGGAAGCAGTCCAATAGGGGCAGGGAGGGGGCAGAGTTGGAGCGGGGACTTTGGGGAAGGGTTAGAATGGGGGCGGGGCAGGGCAGGGATGGAGTCGAGGCAGGGGGGAGTCGAGCACCCACTGACACCAGGAGAAGTTGGCGCCTATGGTGTCACGTCACCCTAAACCCTAAATGAAGGAGAAATAGCAAACAAATTTAACCTGTGTTAATATTTCCGCTCTCTCTTTGTCATGGTGGATAAAAACAGTGCTTTGAGTGGTGTCACAATTGCACATTAATTTAATCCATGGCTATTGAAAATGTGGTGAGAGGACAAGCCCTAGAACCGGTCTGAGCTGGAGCAAAGACGGGATCTAGAGTCTCAGTTTTCTCTTAGGAGGGCACAAGGCTAGTGGTTGGCCCGGCTGTTTCAGGGCCTGAGGCTGTGATCCCGTATGATGAGCAGGCCGGCTCTGATGGGTGTTGTGCTTGGCAGTGATCTGTGTGTGTTGATCATTCTGTAGATGTTCCTGGCTGTCCTTCCATGTACATGAACACTGAGGGGTATCAAAGCCATTCAAATCCCGAAGGGACATTAGGTAAGAAACCTCCATGGCTCTGTCTCCTCTTCATCTGCTCCTGCAATGGACCTCACTCCAGTGCTGCAGCTTGTCTGTGTTCTCTGATTGCATCTGCTGCTGTCTCTTCCAGGCTATGGCTACAACAAGCAGATGAGGCCATTTGCTGATGATGTCTGTGTCGTCCCAGAGAAGTTTGAAGGTCAGAGAGAAACCTGTGTGTCTTCCAAATCTTGGGGTAGGATGAGGTTACCCCAGGCCCTATGTAGCCATGTGAGTGGGCATAGTCACTGCCAGCTCTGCTCACTCTATTTGTGACCCTATTCATTCGGAGATGCCGCACCTGGATGTATGAGTCATGGCTGATGTTGTACTTCCTGGGAGTTTGTTTTCTGAGTTTTCATAGAAGCAGACAGACATTTCAGCAGCTGAGCCCCGATCACTGCAGTTGGTGGTGAATTTCTCCTCCTCTTCACTCCTGTGCAAACTGAAATGTTGTAGGCAAACACTTGAGAGATGCTGATTTCTGCACAGTAGTTGAACCCAGGATCACCCAGCCAGTAGCCCCATTTCCCAGCCTTGTTATTGGTGTTGGGGCACAGTCCCTCTTGATTACTGTCCCAGCTCTCCACAGGCACCCCCAAACCTTCTCGCCAAGATCACTGCCCTTTCCTAGTGCCAGCTGAGCACGGCACCCCAGGGCCTCTTTACCAACCTGGCTTCAGTTTACAGTAGTCCCCATACACCCCTAGAGTCGCTGTGTGGTTGTCAGTGTCACTCTGAAGGCAGTGTGCGTCTAACATGGGCTCACTCACAGTAATGGAGCTTGGTCCTGATGTGCAGCCTGCCACCCATACAGGTCAGAGTGTGTGGGATTGCCCTGGGATGAGACACAAGCTGAAAACATTCCAATGTGCTTTGCTGCTGCAGGAGTCAAGCCTGAACATGTAAATGCCTTGTGCCAGAAGCCAGGCCCGGCATCTGCCCAGAATCTTGGCACCTGTATTTCTCAGCCTCTCTCCTCGCCCCCTTTGGGATTCGCCCACCCCCATTGGGACCCAAGGGCCAGCCCTGCCTTTTGTGAACATTAGAGGAGGAGATTACCTAATGGGCTTTGATGCTGGGCATCAGCCAGCTGGGCTATCTGCACATTAACAGCAGTTCTGAGCCTGGGCCTGAATGAGTTGCTAGTGATTTCCCACTGCCCAGGGATGCGGGAGTCAAGGGAGGTGGGAGCCAGTCTCTGAAGGGGACAGTGACGCTGGGGGGAAAGCACATTTGGTGTAAAGCTCTATTTCTGCAGAGTTCTCTCAGAAATCAGAGGGCAGCCAGTTCCTTTAGCATCCATCTCTGGAGGATGGGGCTCTACTGGGAGCGGATGCCATGTCCTACTGCATTAGGGTCTTGTTGCATTTACACTATGAAGTGATCCCTGAACTACAGTAAAACTCTCCCAACTTCTTCCAATTAAACCAAGAGCGAGCAACTCTTTCGGCTGGCTTGTCACATGATTCCTGCTGCACTCTGGGCTCTGGCTTTCTGACCAGACTCTCCTCTTGGGTAAACAGCAGGTGAGAGGAGGTTAGTCCTCAGGCATCCCTGTAGTAACCTCTGTAGGTGGCCTGGAGCCTGCTTTGTCTTTTGTGGCTTTCCACCGAGAAGCCCTCTCTGCATCTTCCTCCCATCAGGAGAGGCAGAACTGCTGGAGGTCAAGGGAAGGGACATAGCAAAACCCTTTGTGTTTGTTCTGCTCAGCAGGAGACATCAAGCAGGAAGTGGGCGGGTACCGGGAAGGACCCCCATACCAGCGCCGAGGGTCTCTTCAGCTCTGGCAGTTCCTGGTGGCTTTGCTGGATGATCCCACCAATTCCCACTTCATCGCCTGGACCGGCAGAGGGATGGAGTTCAAACTCATTGAGCCTGAGGAGGTGAAAACTCTTCAGCTTCTACCCATGGAGCAAGAGGGGCCCCTGGGCTGACTTACTGATTCTGCAGATTCCTAAGGGCCAGGGCCTTTGCCACATGTAAGGCCTCCTGCCTGCCAGTTGCCCTAAGGGTCACCACTGAGGCTGGGGTTTTAGAGGAGGAGGCCACAGCAGCTGAGTGCCAAAAATCCCAGCTCTATGATGGCGGCGCCCATCATCTGGGCTTCAGCAGGTGAACAGTCTGGGTCAGTGGGTTCCAGATACAGGAGATGGCAGTTTCCCCTCCAATAGCTCCCTCATTAGGATCTCAGAGTTGCTAAAGGGAATTGCAGTTGGTGGGTTTCTCAGCTGGTCTCCTTCTTCTAAGGGGTTTTACTCTTGGGCTGTCCCATGTTGGTTCTGTGCTACCTATCTCATGGTCAGTGCCCGATGCTGTCTCGGAGATCCGGGGCAGGAGTGTATCTCATTGATCACAGCATTTTAAATAAAAATCTGGGAGAAACCGTGTCCTAATCTGGGGATGGATGGATTCGAACTGCAATTAACAGATATCATTTCTAGTGCCACCATGTTCCAAACAGAGCAATAAACTCTGATAATAGCTGGGAAATGTGTCTGGAACATCCATTAATGTCAGGATCCGATTTATGGCTGTGTTTAGCAGCTGCTCCAGCTAATCCCCCGGCTCTTACGAACATGTGCAGCGCAGATGGGCTGAGTCACTTTGCTGGGTCACTTCACTATTAACATTCGTTTACAAGTGTTTTCTCAGCCTCTTTTTTGTATAATAGTGCTCATCGTTCAAGGGTGAAGGTGGTTTCAGGTGAAGTGGTCCTTTCCCAGTGCTGACCTGGCGGTGGGCATGTCCCGCCAATATAGAGGCACTGGCTAAAAGTGCCAAGCACTTTGCATGTAGTCTGTAGTAACATGTGACCTTTTCATCAGCTACTCAGCACCCAGGATTTCCAGTATTCTCAAACCCCTTACTTTCTGTCAGAATGTTGGGGGATCGAGGAAGGGAGTTTGTGGGCCGGTGACAATGTTTGCCTACTGATGGACTTTTCCATCAATACAATTGCCACAGGGACATTTGCACGCACACATTTTCTCAGTGATGAAAGGAAGCTTCTGTTTATCAGCCTTGCCCTCCTTGTTCACTGCAGTGAAATGTGAACGATGCTGTATTTATTAGTTGTATTCCATTGTTTGCCTACTTTAAATTATTATTTATATTACCTTTTGAGCAGCATCCTTCTCTCAGAAAGGAATCACACGGAACATCCCCCAGACAGATAAACACAGGCATTTGTCATGCGCTCCTTTCCTCAGAGCTTACAGACATTAATGCACCCTGGCGTTTTGTCCTGCAGGTGGCCCGGCTGTGGGGTATCCAAAAGAACCGGCCAGCCATGAACTACGACAAGCTGAGCCGGTCCCTTCGCTATTATTATGAGAAGGGCATCATGCAGAAGGTCAGTTTGTGATGGGATCCAAGTTCTATGCTCGTCCTGACACTTGTCTTGCTTGTGATTGGAGGTTGGGCTGGCTCATGGCAAGTTCTGAACCCCCTGACTTCCTGAGGTTCCCTCTTTCCCTGCAACTCTCTCCCTGGCCCACCATTCGCAGAGCAGGAAGTAAAGAAACAAGACCCCTGAGGAAAGGTTGAAGGAGCTGAATCCAGGCATCCTAGGGGAAAGCTGATCAGGGGGCGGGGTCATGCTTTCTCCATGTTCGCCTGCGTTGGGGAGCAAGGGGGGGATCCTCTCTACAACAGTCAGGGTGCCTGTCATGGGATTAGTTGGCAAGGGAGTCTCTTGTTGTTATTAGTGCTAGTTAGAGTTATAAAAAGGCTAAAGGTAGCACCTATCCATGAGCTCTGGGCACCCTTAACATAGCCTATAAATACAGCGTTCAGTCCAGCAATTGAAGATAACCCACGACAAATCCTGGTCCTCATCGAATGGTTCTCCGACCCGACAGTTAAAAGTCTCTTTCCCACCCTCCCCATTTCCAGCCCCCTAAGAGAAAAGCTGTACCTTGCAACATGGCCCGCCTGCTTATCGGGTTGAGATGTCACCATCCCTGGAGCTATTTCAGATGGGACTAGGGCAGCAGCCACAGAGAATGCTGGACGAAGTGGTGAAAACTCCCTCTCTGACATGGGGACGGTCTAGAGGAGCCCAGGGTCTTTCCTAGCTCTATGGGGTCCCTCTCATCCCCCACTGAACAACTCATATGCCCATGGCTGCTGTCATTCGCTGGGAGCAGCTAGCTGCACGCCAACTGGGTGGGACAGAGACTGTAGCATTCACCTTGTCTCCTCCCTGCAGGTTGCTGGAGAGCGCTATGTGTACAAGTTTGTGTGTGAGCCTGAAGCCCTTTTCTCCCTGGCCTTCCCTGACAATCAGCGACCAACCCTGAAAGCAGAGTTTGACCGGCAGATCAGCGAGGAAGATACTGTTCCTCTCTCCCACCTGGACGAGAACACGGCTTACATCCAGGATCTTGGGAGCCTCCCTTCCCAGCCTTACAGCAAGGGCTACCCCTACTAATTCCACCAGTAGCCCGCTGCACAGCCGTTGTGTTTGTATCTATGGAGACGTTTGTTAGTAATCGATCTGCATAGAAGCTTTCCTGGGCCAGCTTGGGCTCCACTAGACTCTTTGAATAGCTGCCTTTGAAACAGGCAGAGGTGATGCGAGCCCATCCTTGGACAGCTCGCCAGCATCTGAGGCTTTGAAAGACATTAGCTGCACCTCATTCACCCAGGATGTGGCCCCAGACTTGGTGCAATGGAACTGGCTCTCTCACCAGTACAGAAACCTCTCCGGGCTGCCAGCAGCAGCATCCAGAGCCAGTGCTGCCTTCATTCAGTTAAATGTGTGATTGTGTCACATCCCTGCATCGATCCTGTCTCTGGCTTTGACCTCCTGCCGAGCAGGGTGGGGAGGAAATGGGACCCTGTTGGGCTCTCTCCTCTGATTTTATGATTCTGTGAAAGCTGTTAATTCCCTCACTTCCCCAGACACACACACTCCTACAAAGCTTCCCTCAGACACCCAGCCCACCTACAAGCACTGTTATTACCCCCACTACTTCTTACGTGCTGGGGACGTAAGAAGCAGTGCAGTAAGCAGGGCAGTAGGGAGCTGAAGCAGGGCAGTAGGGAGCTGAAGGCTTCAGCTCACACTTGTTCCATACAAACTGCTTGGCGGGAATGGGGAACATTTCTTCCCTTGGATGCATTTGCTCCTGTCTTGGTGCCTTCTTGCTCAGGATGCTTCATCTCTGGGCTGTTTAGTGTTTGAAGCCTGTTGTCATTCTGGCAACGACAGGAAGGGGACCAGCTGCCACCAGCCAATGCTGGCGTGGTTCTGGTCTGCTTGATAGGAAATGTCACCGAGGGTGAGCCATGGAGCCCCTGGACTCCACTGGCCTGGAGTGTGGCTCTGAGCCAGAGGAACCCTGCAGATAACTGGGAATTTGAGGATAGAGAGCAAAGTCTGAGATGGGGTCCGAGGAAAGGGATGCTGGTGCCCATGGGCTCCAATGCCCAAGCCGGTGGCTGGGCTGCTGATTGCTCCTGACTGAGCAGGGGCTACCTACAGCAGCCAGACTCTTCAAAACTGAAGAGCTTCCACCAAAAACATCCTCAGCAATTTTGAGAGACTCTAAGGTGCCACAAGTACTCCTTTCCATTAGCGCTGGTCAGACCTGCTGTCCCTGGGCAAGTGGGTAAACCCTGGAGGTTAGAAAACAGTCTCAGCCTCTGGATGGGAGGCATTTGCTTTGCAAAAAAGCCACACTCTCCTTGTTCATCTGATTCTGGCCTTCCCAGAAGGGCACATGCGAGGGGTAAGGGAGGAGTTCATGAGAAGCTGTCAGGGGTCCCAACTGGTTAATGCAGCACAGGCTGCATAACGAGAGATTGTTATGCCATCTCTCACAGCCTTCTCACTGAGAGGGCCCCTCCCCTGCCCCCACTGTGCTAAGCAGCCCCACCCAGGCACAACCACAGCAGGATCACAGGAGCAGCAATGCCTGTGTGGTGGAGCTCAGCTCTCCTTGCGCCCTGCTGCTCCTCTGGATGACTTTCAGACTCCTGAGGGCAGAAGGCTTTTGGCTCAGCCTCATGTGGCAGTTTGGAGGGAAAGTTTTTTATATTGCTTAAGAGGCTGATTTCCCAGGAACTTCCACTCTATGCAGCTAGCAGGGATCCTTGCTTCAGCCCCAGGTGCAATGTCTGGAGGGGAAGCTCTCTGTGACCCACAGCGGGGTGGGCATGTTCCATTTACAAAGTGCTCAGCCTGCTCCTCTGCCCCCTTGTGAGAACCTCCCTCCTCCTCTACTGGCCCCACCCCTCCTCTGGGCCTCTGCAGCCCTCGCCCTGCTCACTCCTCTTGTGCGAAGCACACTTTCTCCATTGCCCCACGAGTGAAGGAGAGGGGGAGCTCTTCCCATCAGCATCACTTATTTTTATTATTTATGAGTGTAAAAAAATACTATAATCAATAAATTGGTCTATATCTTTGGCCAGTGCCCCTTCATTCAGCTCCCTGGCTTCTTCTACCTTCCCTTCTAAGCTTGCTCTGCTTGTGTCACGGGCATCAGCATGCAGCTTTGTATGGACTGATTCAGCCAGACGGGGGATGTGCATTTATTTTCATGTTCGGTGTAGGCCAAGGTACTGTAACTGGCCGGAACCCTGTGGACTAGTGACCTGCTCCTGTGCAATCACTTGCAAAGGGACAGTTCCCACTCAGCAGCCTCCAGTTCCTTGTCCTCCAACCCAAGTCGTGTCTGCCCTGCTGAAGCCCACTCCAGAGGGCGAGACAAGGACAGGAGCAGTGGCAGATCATGGGCTCTCAGTGCGAGCTGGACACGTGCAAGTTTTATACCAAATATTTGGGGGGATGTTTTTTCTCACTGTGTGTTTAATTTTTCTACCTGGCTAACAGCATTTGCTTTTTATGATTTGCTGTCAACTCTCAATGAAAACAATGTACATTATAAGACTGCACTAGCACCAGCTGCCTAAGATAAAGGTGCAAATTCTCCCAATGCTATAAACCACCGTTTTGGGTCAGCCCCTGTTCAGATAAAGCCTTTACAAATTACAGTGCTGGGCATTACAAAATCCCTTCCTACAATCCCAACCCATGCATGATTCACCCTGCAGCCCAGCACCGGCTCCAGTCTTACTGGGCCATTGTCAGGGTGCTGAGAGTTGCTTTACCAATATACTAGCTGCAGATGTTTCCATGGGAAATGCTATTTGAGCTGTTCAAGCCTGCCCAGGGCTGGCTGCTGCTGGAAGGAGGATGGGGGCAAATACTAGATTTATAAACTTAATATTAAGTGAGAAAATGGAGTGTTTTGTTTTGTTCCCTGCCAGGCTGTGCAGGCAAGAAACCCAGAGTGAATGACTTGCCTTCACACTGGCACCATGCTAGGCTTCCTCTGCATGTTAAACTGCTCCTGTCACAACACCGCATAAGTCCCTGTTTAAAGGGGAAGTCAGTGGTCCAGCAGAGCCTCTCCATTGCAGGAGGGCTGAGAGAGTGCACATGTCCACACTCAGGAAGAGATTGCGATACCTGGACAAACCTATGTGGCTTTTTCACTCCTCAGAGGTGGGCTCTGTGACCTCAGGCATCAGTGAGCACCTTTGGATTTGAGTGCCTGCAAAGTGCATCCCAGCAGGAGTCCTGCACTGAGGGAGCTGGGCCTCCGTGCTTTGCACAACTGCCTGGGTGGCGGGAAGCAGGTGAGAGGGCAGTGGTGGGCTGGGGAGAAAAATACACCAGGAAGCAATGGGGCAAGAGAAGAAATGTGTTTCATAGCTTGTCATTTCGGCACAGGACGACTGGAGACGCTGGCTGGGCTTGTGGGGGTCTGGTCATGCGAGGGTGACGCTGGGACTCTCCCTTTAAACTTGGACAGGCAGGGGTTTTAATGTTGTGGTAATGCCCAAAAGAGGAAAGGTGCTTGTCATGACTCCACGCTCGGCAGACTCTTTACTCCCTCCCTGAGCCTGTCTGTATTCACCATCCTCGGACCCGAATAAAAGAACCCACTGTGCTTCATCCCACCCTGTCTCCATGTTCTCTGTGTGAGGATGTTAGCAGACGGCTTCTCCCCCTGCCTTGGCTAAGAAGCTCTAGGCCTGGGGGTTTCCCCACAGAAGAAGGATTGTCCAGAGTCCCAAATCCCCCGGTCCGTTTCCATGACCACAGACCTTCTGTCCATCTTCTGCTATAGAGTGCCGGGAAGGAGGGAACCCCGGAGAGTCACAAGCCAGGTGAATTTACTTCTGAGCTGAATCTCTCCTGACCATGGGCCTCTTGACTCTCATCGCAGGCAGGTGCATAGGGTCAGAAGGGTGGAAGCTCGTGTTAAATAGGAGGGTTGAAGGGCTAGGAGGGAGGAACGGGGTGGGTGCTCTGAAGGTGGAGCTGTTGAGACTTAGCACAGGAGGGGAGGCTGACAGCTCTAGGCTGGGAATGGGGGGCCCCAGCAATGCATCTCTCTCCCCAGGTATCACTGCTGCTGGCCCCGGCCCCATCACCCCAGTTCCTACCTGACCCCAAGCACCGCGGCAGCCACTCCAGTTCCCACAGGTCCTGCTCTCATTTTCATCTGTCCCCACCCACCTGGCGCATGCATGCAGTTTACAGGGAATGACACACGAGGGTGCACCCCCACAGTATTTCCATTGCAGCAGTGCTAGCCTCCACTTCCACACCCTCTGTGCTGGTTCTATCCCCCCCATGCTGGGTGAGAGCCTACCATACTCCTGGATTAAATGCTGACTTTAAGGCTCCTGAAGGTACAGCACAGTGGGGCTGTGAGCTGTGTTGTAATGCACATGTACAGCTACCTCCCAGCCTGGCCTTCAACGTTACAGAATGTGAGCGCTGCATGGGATTCTCTGTGCTTAGTAAAGCTTATAAAGGTGCTCCATGTGTAAGCAGGGCACTGGGGACTCTGAACTCCAGCTGAGAGGCCAGGGCACCAATGTGCAAGGTGTGGGATCTGCAGAATCACTGGCTGGAAAGTCCACTTGTTTCTGTCCTGGCTCTATAGTGTTTGCAGGGGTGGGGAAATCCCTGCTCTGGAAACGCCTGGTGTGTTCTGTGGTCCAGTGGCTCTTGCCTGGAAGGAGCTATAGCTGCTCCTGCTGCAGAAGCCCCGTCCTGGCAGTGAAGCCAGGAGCTGGGTTTGTGGTGTCCCCCGGGGTGTTGCTACAGGATGAAGGAGGAGCAGACTGAAGGCTTTGGGGGACATGGGAAGAAGGAGAGTTCATTATCAGCCCAGCCTGCCTCAGCGTGGCCCTGGGGGCACTGCCGTCCAGCTCAAGCGCTCGTTGTTAGGACAGTACACAATGAAATCAGTAGTTTCCTGCTGCACCTGGAGCCAGGGGAGTAGCTATCTGCCTCTGCAGAGAACATCCCCCACATTCCTCTGCACAGTCCCAGGCTGATAAAGGCTCCTGCCATTGGATCTCAGCTCTGTTATTTTAATCAAAATTGTCTTTCCCTGAGCCTGCTCCATAGCACCACCCTCTTGTTGGAAAGTATCACTGTGAGCACTAGGGATGAGCATGGGGCCATCTTATGGCTGAGCTCCCAGACCCTAGCTGCAGAGCTGCCCGTATAATAGAACAAGGTGCCATACAGGCAGTAGCAAGCAGGATGACATCACCCAAGTGCACAGCAGAGGTAATAGAGAAAAGCCATCCTGGGAGGATGCCGGAGGCGCAGTCATCCCCTCAGCTGAGCTTCAGAAACAGCCTAGGAAATGCTGGATCCAGCCAGCAACTGGCACAGGAGCCATCTCTAAGCCCAGGAATTCTTCCTTGCTGCAACGTTGCCTCCTGCCCCAGGAAGGTCTTGTACATTCCTAAAAATTATTTTCTCTCTTCTAGGAACCAAACCGTGCAGCTGTGAAAAAGGATCTGAGCTAGCCCGCTGTGTTCCCTGGTGTTGCACTTGCTGTCTCGTGAAAATTAAGAACAGTGGTAGCTTGCATTTATCTAGCGTCTTTCACCCTGCAGGATATGACAGAGGTCTATTAACTCATGAATGGTGTGGAGAAAGTGAATAAGGAACACAAGAACCCCAATGAAATTAATAGGCAGCAGGTTTAAAACAAACAAAGGCAAGTACCTCTTCACGCAACATACGGTCAACCTGTGGAACTCATTACCGGGGATGTTGTGAAGAATATAACTAGGTTCAGAAAAGCACTAGATAAGTTCTTGGAGGATAGGTCCATCAATGGTTATTAGCCAGGATGGTGAGAGATGAAACCCTATGCTCTGGGTGTCCCTAAACTTCTGACTGCGAGAAGCTGGGATTGGACGACAGGGGCTGGATCACTCAATAATTGCCCTGTTCTGTTCATTCTGTCTGAAGCATCTGACACCAGCCACTGTTGGAAGACAGGATACTGGGCTAGGTGGACCACTGGTCTGGCCCAGCAAGGCCATTCTTATGTTCTTATCCTGAAGTGCTTTGCATACACATTATGCTGCAATTTCTGTGCTAGTGCTCAGCCCAGCCAGCCCCTGTGCAGGGAATTTTGGGGACTAATTCACTTTCAGACAAAAAGTTAAACTTGTGTCTCACTTTGGATTTTTCAAGTCACTGCAATAGGATGGACAGACATGGGGGGTGGTTCTGGGAGCTGGTGAGATCAGGTTCTCATAACTGAGGAGGAGTGAGCTCTGAAGGATAGAGGTTTATAATCAGCAGATCAGAGCCCTGGCAGTCAATAAATCCACTCTGGGTTTCCAGCTCAGCAAGAGACTGATGGGGCAGGTGACTAGTAAAGGAACTGCTCAAATATTAAAGCCCACATCTTCCATTCCTAACTCTGCACCTGAGAGGCAAGTATTGTTCTACCAGATAAAACATTTGTCAATTCTGGGCCTGACCTACATAATGGTGCACATGCTAGTTAGTATATTAACGCAGCAGCAGTTCTTTTGTTACAAAGATCGTTCTAAAGCACAGCAGGGTCTGAACAGAGCGGAGTTTTCTCTTTGACTCCCATCTTACTGTCACTACAGTAGATTTTCTTAAATGTGTTAGCTGCAGTTAATTGCTTGAAAGTGTGTCAAGCTGGCAAAACACACAACCTCCCCCAACCCATTAGAAAAATTCACAATAAAAGTTTTGTTCCTTAATGGGCAGATGCGGAGAAAGGCCATGATCTTCTTTATGGAACCGCCAAAAGTCATGGGTTCTGTCACAGGAATTCTGATCAGGACAAAGAGCCAGACAACTGGGTACAGTACATATATTTGTAAAGTTCTCACCATCTTTTCCATTGTTACTGATTACACCTCTTGTTTTAGCCTGGTGAATTATCCACTAGAATGTGACTATGCTACAGGACCAACTGGAAAAAAATTCTCCATGATCATTTCTTTGTGATTTAGTTTTTCCTAATGTGGATTTTCTATTTTCGGAGCAGTTTCTATCGTTGCTCTAGTCCCACAGCTACTCCTGCTGTAGGAATAATACAAAGCCCAGCAGGAAGCATCATAAATCTACTACCCAGAGTCTGATGCAAAGTTCCTTTCTGGTCATACTAAATAATTAACGTAACGTTACAGTCTGTCCCAGATGTGCCCTTAGACTACGCTGTAAGGGAATTAATCCTAATATGAAAGGATGGCGATGCAGAACTGCACTAGCATCAGAGTGCAGGCTACATAAGAAATTGTTGGTAACATAAAAGAATCCTCCTACTCTGAAATATTAATGAATAGAGATACTGAAGGACACATGCAGCAGCAAAATTCCTATTGAAGGTGGAGCCATGAGTGAATAGGAGAGGGTTAGGAGAGGAGGATTATATTATATGTTGCATCGGTCAGATGCAATCATTTATAGTGCCTTGTCCATTCTGCTTGGGGGTTCTGAAAATGCTTCCTAGCACCATGAGTGAAGCAGCATTTGCAGCACTGTGCAGGCGAGACACACACTGCTGGAAAGGGATTACTGCCTGGCCCCAATCTCCTGACCTGGGTCAGAGTCCCAGAGGCCACGTGACAGGGTGAGTGTTATCATGAACATATAGCTTCCCCGCTACTGTTATGTGTGTTTCCAAATAATGTCTTCCTGACAGCCCAGCATGTTGCTGCTGAACATTCCCTTCCTCCCACTGGCCTCTGCCAGAGAGCCCAGTTCTGTGGGACGCCCAGCCTCTGCATGCTGACTCAGTGCAAAGCAGCTCACCAGTTTGGAGAGAGCTGGATACTGGCCCATCGTTCCATTAATGCTAGTGGAAGGGACTGGAGCATATTAAGCAGACAATCTACCCAACAGCCACTGGGATCCTGACCTGCAGTAATGCCTTGCTCTCCCAGGCAAGGAAATCCCATTGAACAGGGCAGTAACACTGCAACGTGGACTGAGACTCTGGAGCGAACTACACCTTCACTTGTGACCCCATGATGCCCTCCCAGCCCCACCATGAGATGCGTCAATATCATTCACCCTACGTTACCAAGAAGGAAACAGACACCGACAAGGGAAGTGACTTCCCAGATGCTCCGAGAGGAGTCAGTGCCAGAGCGGGACGCAGGAGTTGCATGCTCCCTATTCTGGGGTCAGCCCCGTAGACCACAAATCCCCTCTGCTTCACCATATCCGAACATTGGGATGGGCACTGGGACAGGGAGCCTGTCCCCTCAGCACATACCCTGCCCCCCCCGCAGTGAGAGAGCTGACACACAGCACACCTAGAAACAAGTCAGCCTCCATTCCCTAGGCCACGGCTGGCTTGGTGTCGTGTGTCACTAGGCCAGCCCCAGGGTGGTTTATGTGACAATATTGGGATGTTTGAGTCCTTTACAGCTGCGTAAAGCCCCTGAGAAGGAGGTTGGCATGAACTTTGCTGATATTCTCAGGAGATTCGTTCTGTCAAATGAATCAGCCCTAATGCTACCCATACATTGCCTTCCCCTCTGCATTTCAATCACAGTAATATCGTAATCCACTACAACACTGGAAACCACTTGGTACAATGAATATTGATCTCTGTGTACCTTGA